AATTATATAAAATCTTAATAAAATATGGCTTATGGAGTGTTTCACTTAGGTAAATGTGGTTAAAAGTTAATTTAACCTAGTCTTTTAGAGAAGGGTCTCATTTGTTCACTATAGAGTAATACAAGATTCTGACATCTTCCATATTCTTTAAGTCAAAGAAAAACAAGTATTAAAATACTATTTCTCTACCAATAACTTGGAGAAGGGAAAAAAGAAAAAAGAAAATCCTATCAATCAAACCCTGAAGGTATTTTCTTTTTGCTGTGTCAGCAAAGGCTTTCAAGTTCCTTCAAATTAGTTTTTGCCTACAGATTTTTCTAAATCCTTTTTAGGAATTCTAGCAAAATCTACATTCTTTTAGTATATTTTGTTGATTAAGACTTGCTATAATCTACTTTAATGGCTATTGGAGAACCCAGATTATAGAAGATATTATTTGGCAAAATAGAGAAAATGCATGTTAAGCATCATAAATGGACCAGTGTGATGATATGTTTTTTTAATAGGCTTATATTTATATTTTTTCAGTCCTATAAATTTTCATTTTGTTATTGCTAAACCAAAGAAGAATTAGGAAAGCACACTGGAGTAGATCACAGACATGTTTAAACTTTTATTAAATTTCATTTACTCTATGAAAGTCTAGCATCAAGTTAAAACATGCATCTCATACCTACATCCTCAGTTTCATTGGTCCACGTTCTTTTTTTTTCTTGAGACGGAGTCTCACTCTGTCACCCAGGCTAGAGTGCAGTGGCGTGATCTCAGCTCACTGCAACCTCTGCCTCCCAGGTTCAACTGATTCTCCTGCCTCAGCCTCCTGAGTAGCTGAGATTACAGGTACATGCCACCACGCCTGGCTAATTTTTGTATTTTCAGTAGAGACGGGGTTTCACCATGCTGGTCAGGCTGGTCTCAAACTCCTGACCTTGTGATCTGCCTACCTCAGCCTCCCAAAGTGCTGGGATTACAGGCGTGAGTCATCACGCCCGGCTGGTCCACACTCTTATACCCACGTTTCATTCCAACCCAACTAGAGGTAGAGTCCCTCGAATGTTCCTCTCAGGCTCTGTTTATTCTTGTAGAGCCCTCTGTCTGAAACACCTCTCATGCTTTAAAAACCAGCTCCTGTCAGCCAACATTCCTCTTCTATCCCAGTAGCCCTTCATCCCCAGCTTAGATGTCCTCTCTTTATACTTTCTTCTGCATGTCTCTACATCACAGCATTTTTCATTAGGAATTTTTTTTTTTTTTTTTTTTGAGACGGAGTCTTGCTTTGTCGCCCAGGCTGGAGTGCAGTGGTGCGATCTCGGCTCACTGCAAGCTCCGCCTCCCAGGTTCACGCCATTCTCCTGCCTCAGCCTCCCAAGTAGCTGGGACTACAGGCGCCCGCCACCATGCCTGGCTAATTTTTTGTATTTTTAGTAGAGACGGGGTTTCACTGTGTTAGCCAGGATGGTCTCGATCTCCTGACCTCCTGATCCGCCCGCCTCGGACTCCCAAAGTGCTGGGATTACAGGCGTGAGCCACCACGCCCGACCTTCATTAGAAATTTTAAACATAAACTTTCTCATTTCTCCCAATAGAAACTGGTTTATTAAATTTTTAAAATTCTGGATTCTCCAGCACTGGACCTGGCACACTGAATGCCAACAAATAAATATTAATTGAGTTAGTGGAAGCTGATTATGTCAGAGCCCCAAGTACTTACATTTTACCCAGTAAAATACAAGTTTATCTTTTACAAATGGAGAAACTAAGGCAGAAAGGAGTTTGTAACAATAGTATCATTAGCAAAGATTAATGAAAAAAAAAAGTGAACTAATCTTTTACTTGGACCAATTAACATCCTAGCTACAGTCTAAACAGTGGAACAGACCGGGTGCAGTGGCTCACACCTGTAATCCCAGGACTTTGGGAGGCCAAGGCGGGCAGATCACGGGGTCAGGAGTTCGAGACCAGCCTTGCCAATATAGTGAAACTCCGTCACTACTAAAAATACAAAAATTAGCCGGGCGTATTGGCGGGCACCTGTAATCCCAACTACTTGGGAGGTTGAGGCAGGAGAATTGCTTGAATCCGGGAGGCAGATGTTGCAGTGAGCCGAGATCACGCCATTGCACTCCAGTCTGGATGACAGAGTGAGACCCCATCACCAAAAAAGAAAAAAAAAAAAAGAGTAGAACAAATTAGTTTCTTAATCATAAGAAATAATCTCCAAACATCAATTTCCTATCACAGAGGATTTAGCTTTTCTTTTTTTTTTCTTTTTTTTTGAGACAGAGTTTCACTCTTGTTGCCCAGACTGGAGTGCAGTGGCGCAATCTCGGCTCACGGCAACCTCCACCTCCCAGCTTCGAGCAATTCTCCTGCCTCAGCCTCCTGAGCAGCTGGGATTACAGGCATGTGCCACCATATCCGGCTAATTTGGTATTTTTATTACAGTCAGTGCTTCTCCATGTTGGTCAGGTTGGTCTCAAACTCCTGACCTCAGGTGATCTACCTGCCTCAGCCTCCCAAAACGCTGGGATTTCAGGCGTGAGCCACCGTGCCCGGCCCAGATTTAGCTTTTCTTAAGGATTCAAAATCATTAAGTCCAATCCTCTCTCACATACCACAAAACTCTGGCACAGCCGTGGACTAACCTAAAAATCCACTGTTCCAGACACAAAAAACTTTCTTTCAGTTATGAAAATCTTCATTTATAGCTGCCCCTGTCATAGTTGGCTAATAGTTTTGCACAAATTAAACTAGATGATGAGTATTTTTCAAATTAGAAACAAAAAGAGGACCTGACCCTGCCAAGCTTTAACCACCTGGGACAACAAACTTGTTCTTCTCCAGTATCTTATACTTTACACAGTACCATTGGCCTCCCAAATCACCAGTTCATGCTCCATCCTCATGCAAAGACAGCAATATTGTATTGGAGACAGAGTTAGTCCAAAGGTCCAAGTGCAGCTGGAGCTAGTTCTCTAAGCAAAGAACCTCTGCTTCCATGCATAGATCTTCACTACCCAAACAATTCCTATTAGCGGAAGAGTGCTAGGAGAAAGAAAGTAAGGAACTCATTAGAGTATAAAGCTAATTCAAAGAGGCGGAAATTGGAAATAAAGGAAGCAAATTAATCCTGGGTAATGTTTAGAAATTCCTTAACAGCTGGTATTTTTCTCTTGAACAGATGAAAACGCTTCAGATAAATAATATTCCTGTGAAACAAGAATAAGATTCGTCTGTTACATATGAAAAAACTAATGCAGGATTGAGTTTACACTATTAAGACCCAGAACTCTGCCTCTTGGGCAAAGCCAAGCATAAAGCAGCAAGCCGGAGTCCCAGAATTAGACGGCTTTCCATGGACAGGAGAATGGATACAGCAGGCACAGAATGACTATAGAAGAGAAAAACAAGCAAAAACAAATGTCACTCCATCTGGTTTTAAGCCAAATAAGCCCTCCGATCCTAACCAAGGCAAAGGAGAACTGCCTTTCCACAGAACACACCATACTGGTTTCAGTATTTGTTTTCCCACGGGTACCCTTGAAACTCATTTTAATTCAAAAATGAAAACTATGGGCCAAGCACGGTGGCTCATGCCTGTAATTCCAGCACTTTGGGAGGCTGAGGTGGGCACATCATCTGAGGTCAGGAGTTTGAGACCAGCCTGACCAACATGGCAAAACCCCGTCTCTACTAAAGACAAAAAATTAGCTGGGTGAGATAGCACACGCCTGTAATTCCAGCTACTAGGGAGGCTGAGGCAGGAGAATCGCTTGAACCCAGGAGGCGGAGGTTGCCGTGAGTCGAGACTGCGCCATTGCACTCCAGCTTGGGCAACAAGAGCAAAACTTCGTCTCAAAAAAAAAAAGAAAAAAGAAAAAAAGAAAACTAGTATTTTGTGAAACAGCCAGAACTATCACAAGGAAAAGGCTCCCAGTACTGTATCATAATACTTCCACACACATAAAATACCTCCTTTAGGGATGGGGTCATTTCTCTTGGGATAATTCAATTCAATGCTTAATTTTTGGGAAGGGCTGCATGAAGGAGAGACTTGTAGTTAAAAACAAAACAAAAAAACGGGTCTAATTTCTGGCTTTGGTACTTACTAGCTGGGTTACCTTATGCGAGAAGTCTTAATTTCCGAGTCTTAGTTTCCTCACCTTCAAATTGAGACTAATAACTACTTTGTAGGTCTCTGGTAAGACGGAGAGAAACGAAGTGGTTAGCACACCATGGGCACTCAATAATAGCTATTATTTACATAATGAGTCCCTACTAAATATGGATGCTGGGTTAGGCGCTGCCGAGATACAAGGTGAAAATTCTAGTTGCAAATAGAAAAAGTCCTGAATGTTCTTAGATTTCAAAATGCTTTTTGTACATCGCCTCTTTTCTGCCCGTGAGGAGGACAACGGCAAACAATTAAAGTAGGAAAAATGTGGGGAGCACTTCATGGTTTATAAAATGTTTTTCTGCGTGCCACCTTATTTTAATGTTTTAACTTTCCAGATTTTAAAACAAGTCCTACACCAAATAAATGGTAGAGGGACACAAAATGGAACCAGGCATCCTAACCGCCAGAGCGACCTTCCCGCCGCCCCATGCCTCCCTGAGGTGCTGGTCGGCTGCTTCTCCCCGGGGTACCCAGCAGCCATCCTGCTCTCCACCCAGCACCACCGCAGGTCGGCCGCGGGCCACGCTACGCGCCGGATTATTGGGCGCTGGTTTGGCCTTCGGAGGTCGAGGCTCTCTAAGTGGCCTCCTGAACTGGGCTCACTCTTACTTGGCCTCCTCTCTCGAGGCAGCACCCTCCTCTCTAACGAGAACTCCATCGTTCGCAGCCCCACGGTGTCCCCGGGGAGCGCCTCCCGCCCCCACCGGCTTTGCCTCAGCTTGTCCTCGCCTTTCCAGCCCTCAGCATCCGCGGACACCCGCGCTCTCGGGGTCCACGCGGAAGCGCTCGCGGGGCCCACGTGGAAGCATCCGCAGGCTGTCGCAAGAGCCTACCGTCTTGCTCTCATTGGGCAACCTTACCCTTTCCCCGCCTCAATGTTTTTGCTTCCTCAGTGATTGGGCCTGGGCATTGTCCATTCCAGCTCCCAGGCACCGCCCTCTCTCCACCCACTCGGGTTCTCCTTTATTCCCAACGCTCCTCACCTAGCCCCTGTCCTGAGGGTGTGCCTAACCCTGGAGCCAGCTTTAAAGGGGCAGGCCCCTCCTCCTGCCCCAGCCCCACCCACGGGGCCCCCCTTCTCGGTCTTTCAGGCCCAGAGCTCCCTCACAGAACTCCCCCGCACCTTGTCTCGCCCGCTCCGCCTCTCCTTCCCAGCCACAGCTAGAGGTCCTGGGCGCACCTGCAGAGCCAGCGGCTTGCTGGGGGCATGCGCTCCATGAAGGCTCTGCAGAAGGCGCTGAGCCGGGCCGGCAGTCACTGCCGGCGGGGAGACTGGGGTCACCTGAGCCGGAGCCCCCTCCTTGGCGGGGGCGTCCGGCACCACCTCAGTGAGGCCGCGGCGCAGGGCAGAGAGACACCACACAGCCGCCAGCCGCAGCACCAGGATCAGTAAGGCTCCTGGGACAGGGCAGGGGACGGGCTTGCCCCAACTCCCACTGTGGTCCTCGCTAGTTCCCGAGTGCCCTCCCCAGGCAGCGTCCCTCATCTCCCCTCTCCTGGCTCACTAGCCCTGGATGCCTTTTCCTTTGGATGTGGAGCTTTGGGTACGCCGCGTTCGGGCGGTAATCTGCAATCTGCCTGGGAGTGCGTTCGGGCAAGCGGGTCCTGGGGATGGCGCCTGTCCAAGGTGCGCAGTTAACCTGGATCACTAATGCGCCCCGAGTGTTACTTGGTTCACGTGTCTGAGTGCAGGGCCGGGCGCACGCCGCCCATCCTCACCTTCCCTCGTCTCAGTGTGTATTTTAGGAGATGCGTGGGTGTGGCACAGCCTCCTGCCTCAGGTCCAAGTGTACTGGGATCTGTCTGTGTGTTGTGTTTCTGCGTGTCCTCGGCGGGTAATGTGTGATGCTCGTGTGTTACTGGTGCGCAGGTATGTGCATAAGTGTTAGGTGTGTGCGTGGTAATGCTCCCTGAACAGCAGAATGGGGGGGGGGGGGGATTTTCCAAACTGGTTGTTGAATGGGGAGAATATTTGTAATAGAGGAAAAGTCTTTAAGACGCAGATTTCCCAAACCAGAGCCAGTCAGAGCTATTATTTGTGCTGCCCAGGCTCCGGAATCTAAAAGGTTCTCTTTCTTTAGGTACTTCTTCCGCCCAGGTGGCCAAACTTTTATCTTCCCCACCGCCTAGGACACACTTGGTGGCTGAGCCTTTTTCTCCGAGACGCAGACGGTGCTGAACAGGAAATCTTGTCCTTCCCAGAGGGCCAGCATAGACACTGTTCAAAGAGCCATTGCTCTACTGTAGCAGGAACAGGAAATGGGTCATCTCCCTCATGACACTCAGAAACATGGACACTATCACTAAAGTAGCCAGACTGACACAACACTACCTCACCAACTACTTGAGTCTCTGTCATAAGGGACACCAATAGGTATTATTTATTATTAATGACATTATGCCGTACTTTTATTCCTTTCTTTTTTGAGATGGAGTCTCACTCTGTCACACAGGCTGGAGTGCAGTGGCACCATCTTGACTCACTGCAACCTCCGCCTCCTGGATTCAAATAATTCTCCTGCCTCAGCCTCTAGAGTAGCTGGGATTACCTCAAGTAGCTGGGATTACAGGTACGCGCCACCACACCCCGCTAATTTTTGTAGTTTTAGTAGAGACAGGGTTTCACCATGTTGGCCCAGCTGGTCTTGAACTCCTGACTTCAGATGATCTGCCTGCCTCAGCCTCCCAAAGTGCTGGGATTACAGGCATGAGCCACCACGCCCGGCCCTTTTCTTTTTTTCATAGTCATGGTGTCTGCTTATCCATATTACACAGTACTTTTCCATCAGCTTCTTCTCAAAAAGACACAGAACATTTAAAGGATAAGCCCTCTCCCTCCTGTTCTAGTCTCCACCCCAACTTCCTCCCAGATATTCACCATGGGAGAAATAAGGTGGGATACAGCAAAGGCTGAACTTCCCTCATCTGTCTACCTTCTGCAGAGTAGGGAACTATAGGTATCCCTAGTTCCCCCCACACACACCTCCTTATCCAGGGGAGTCTGGTGATTGAAGTCTTTTCAGGGGACCTTATTTCTTCTGCCCAGGGAACCCCCTGTCATATCCTTGGACTGGTACTTCCCAGGCAGAAAGGGTTGTGAGCACTGGAGAGTGATGTGCTCTGGCAGTGTGACACTGTGATGGGGTGGGGTTCCTGTGTTTGGCGGAGGAAAGAGAGCAGCAAAGAGGAAATGCGCTGTTTTTCGGGTTATTGTTTGTTTAATATTTAGCTATTTAGCTGTATTTATGACTTTCTTTTTTTTGGAGACAGAGTCTCTTTGTCGTCCAGACTGGAGTGCAGTGGCGCAATCTCGGCTCACTGCAACCTCTGCCTCAGCTTCCCGAGTAGCTGGGATTACAGGTACCCACCACCACGACTGGCTAATTTTTGTATTTTTAATAGAGACGGGGTTTCACCATGTTGGTCAGGCTGGTCTCGAACTCCTGACCTCAGATAATCCACCTGCCTGAGCCTCCCAAAGTGCTGGGATTATAGGCGTTAGCCACCGTGCCCGGCTGTATTTATGACTTTAAAAGAAAAGTAAGAGTATCAAGAGGAAAATATCCCAACACAAAGAAATGATAAATGTTTGAGATGATGGATATACTAATTACCCTTACTGATCACTATAATTCTATGTATTGAAACATCGCTATGCATCCCATAAACATCTGTACAATTATGTGTCAATTAAAAAAATAAATTTAGAGCCAGGCGCAGTGGCTCACACCTGTAATCCCAGCACTGTGGGTGGCCAAGGTGGAGAGGATCACTTGAGCTCAGGAGTTTGAAACCAGCTTGGGCAGCATGGCAAAACCCTGTCTCTACAAAAAAAAAAAATACATACAAAAATTAACCAGGCATGGTGGCATGTGCCTGTAGTCCTAGTTACTTGGGAGACTGAGGTGGGATGATCACTTGAGCCCTGTAGGTTGAGGCTATAGTGATCCATGATTGCACCACCACACTCCAGCCTAGGCAACAGAGTGAGACACTGCCTCAAAAACAAATAAATAAGTTTATTACTTAAAAAATTTTAAAAGAAAATAAAGATCTCAGTATTAGAGATAACCAATTAATATTGTGATACAGTCATATATATCCTATATATGTATATGTAATTTAACAAAAATGGGATAGTCATATTCTTGAAGTTATCTTTTCCATTTATGAACAGCTTTTAATATCATTGAATATGTATGACATTGTCATTTTGTAATTTTAAAAGATTCCATTGTTTGAGGTATCATAGTTTAAATAACCAGTCTTCAATTTGGTTACTATATACTCTTGTACATTTGTTCAATTATTTCTTAAATTCCAAGGAAATTTTGCCCCCCAGAGATAATCTGATGTCAGTGATATCATGTATAGTTTTCTAGAGATATTTTATGCATAAAATACATGCTGATATTACTTTACTTTTTTTATACAAATGGTATCCTAAACACATTGTTCCTGTACCTTGCTTTTTTTTTTTTTTTTTTTTTTTTTTGAGACGGAGTCTCGCTTTGTTGCCCAGGCTGGAGTGCAGTGGCGCGATCTTGGCTCACTGCAAGCTCCGCCTCCCGGGTTCACGCCATTCTCCTGCCTCAGCCTCCTGAGTAGCTGGGACTACAGGCGCCCGCCACCTCGCCCGGCTAATTTTTTCTATTTTTTGTAGAGACAGGGTTTCACCATGGTCTCGATCTCCTGACCTTGTGATCCGCCCGCCTCGGCCTCCCAAAGTGCTGGGATTACAGGCGTGAGCCACCGCGCCCGGCCGTACCTTGCTTTTTTGGTATCATACTACATACATTGCTCTTGTACCTTGCTTGTTTTCCCTCAACATTACATTGGTGATCCATCCATATCTGAGGGACATACAGTTTTTTTAGGCCTGTGATACATTCAGTGGTATAGCATTATTTCCTGTCTTCTGTCAGCTTCCAGGCACAGAGTCCTGAGTCCTGCCTTCAAAGTGTTCCTATGTACTTTCCTTCTTGAGTTATCCCTCAGATAGCTTTTCTCCTCCTCTCCCCGTATAGGCACTAGCTTCATTGTGACAACGAGATTTACCCAGAAGCAGGAAAACTCTTCTGGTGTTCCCTCTTGTGGTATTTCTCCTGACTCCAGACACACATATGCCTAGTCTATGCCAAGCTGTTTGAGTCTTATTTTTTAATCAATTGTTTCAATAGATAATATATTCCATATGGTTCAAAATTCAAAATATACAAAAGATAGTGAAAAATATCCCTCCCATCCCTTTTTCCCAGCCCCTACGTCCTCTCTGTAGAAGATGAATCAATCTTACCTATTTATTTATTTATTATGAGATGGAGTCTCACTCCATTGCCCAGGCTGGAGTGCAGTGGCGTAATCTTGGTTCACTGCAACCTCTGCCTCCTGGGTTCAAGCAATTCTCCTGCCTCAGCCTCCTGAGTAGCTGGGGTTACAGGCAGACGCCACCACACCAGCTAATTTTTGTATTTTTAGTGGAGACGGGGTTTCACCATGTTGGTCAGGCTGGTCTCGAACTCCTTACCTTCTGATCTGCCCACCTTGGGCTCCCAAAGTGCTGGGATTACAGGCATGAGCCACCATGCCTGGCCAGTCTTACCTATTTCTAACTAAATGTTCGTCCAGAAATATTCTGTGCCTGAATAAGCAAACATATATATATTTTTCCCTTTTAAACCTGTGCTTCAACCTGAGAAAACTGATAAAGAAAAAAAAGAAAAAACAAATGAAAACATAAAGCTAGCACTAAAGAACTTATTCATGTAACCAAACACCACCTGTTCCCCAAAAACCTATTGAAATAAAAAATAAATTAAAAAATAAAAATAAATAAAGCTGGGCATGGTGGCATGCACCTGTAGTCCCAACTACTATGGAGGTTGAGGCAGAAGGATCACTTGAGCCCAGGAGTTCAAGGCCAACTTGAGCAATACAGCTAAGCTAAACCCCATCTCTATAAACAAACAAACAAACATAAATACTACCATACTCCATATACTGTTCTATAACACACTTCTTTTAGTTAATATTATATCTTAGAGATAATTCCATATCAATACTTAGAGCACACCCCAATTTCTTTTTTTTATACTGCATAATATTCCGTTATATGAATATACAATAATTAACCAGTTCCCTATTGTTGCACATCAGATTGTTTCTAATCTTACTATTACTAACAACGTAGTGAAGGCCGGGCGTGGTGGCTCATGCCTGTAATCCCAGCACTTTGGGAGGAGGAGGTGGGCGGATCACTAGGTCAGGAGTTTGAGACCAGCCTGGCCAACATGGCGAAACCTCGTCTCTACTAAAAATACAAAAATTAGCTGGGCATGGTGGCATGTGCCTGTAAATCCCAGCTACTTGGGAGGCTGAGGCAGGAGAATCGCTTGAACCCAGGAGGCAGAGGTTGCAGTGAGCAGAGATCACGCCATTGCACTCCAGCCTGGGTGACACAGCAAGACTCCGTCTCAAAAAAAAAAGAAAAAACAACAATGTGATGAAAAATTGTAAATATGTTATTTTTGATGTGTGTAAGTATACCTGTAGGACAAATCCCTGGAAGTCAAATTATTGGGTCAAAGAATTTTTTTTTAATGTTATTGTTTTATATATTTTTAAAATTTTATTGTTTTATAATTTATTTATTTATTTATTTTTTGAGATGGAGTCTGGCTTTGTCACCCAGGCTGGAGTGCAGTGGCACAATCTCAGCTCACTGCAAGCTCCGCCCCTGGGGTTCATGCCATTCTCCTGCCTCAGCCTCCCAAGTAGCTGGGACTACAGGTGCCCGCCACCATGCCCGGCTAATTTTTTTTTTTTTTTTTTTTTTGTATTTTTAGTAGAGACAGGGTTTCACTATTTTAGCCAGGTGGTCTTGATCTCCCGACCTCGTGATCCACCTGCCTCAGCCTCCCAAAGTGCTGGGACTACAGGCGTGAGCCACCGCGCCTGACTGGGTCAAAGATCTTTGAAGGGTCTTAATCGAAACTAGCTGATAAAATAATCTGATAAAATAACTCCGCTTGTCTGGGTGTGGTGGCTCATGCCTATAATCCTAGCACTCTGGGAGGCTTAGGTGGGAAGATCACTTGAGTCCAGGAGTTTGAGATCAGCCTAGGCAATATAGTAGATCCCTTTTCTACTTAAAAAAATAACTCTTCTAAATATTTTAACATATTAATGGAAATCTTGAAAACTAAGAAGTCTTCAGGACCTGGAATTTTAGGTGCTATAAGCCAGAGAGATACTTTGGGGCACAGGGACCTTGCCAGCAATACAATTGAGTAATTCTTATTGAAGACCCACTGTGTGCTAGGGACTTTGCTCAGTGCTAGGAAGACAAAGATGTATAAAAAAGATGTGTAAAACACAAAGACCTAACAGTGGAGCAAGGGAGATTCTTCTGTCAGTAAGATGGTGTGTTGTGTCAAACCGGCAGCATAAGCAATATCTGGAGGTTTGGGGAAGCCTTTACAGAGTTGGCGACGTTTGATCTGGACCTTGAAGAATGAGCAGGACCATACTAAGCAAAGGTCATTCTATGCAGAAGTTATAGCATAAGCAAAGGCCAGGAAGCCTCACAGTTCCCGGCCCATTTTGGGGAGCCATCTATATTGCCTGTTACATCTGGAGTGTGTGGGCATGGTGGGGAATAGGGAAGTTAAGTGAGCAGGTTTTATTTATTTATTTATTTATTTTTGAGACAAAGTCTCACTCTGTCACCCAGGCTGGAGTGCAGTGGCGCAATCTCGACTGACTGTAACTTCCACCTCCCAGGCTCAGGCAATTCTCCTGCCTCAGCTTCCCAAGTAGCTGAGATTACAGGCGCCTACCATCACGCCTGGCTAGTTTTTGTATTTTTAGTAGAGATGGGGTTTTACCATGCTGGCCAGTCTGGTCTCAAACTCCTGACCTCAGGTGATCTGCCCACCTTGGCCTCCCAAAGTGCGGGGATTATAGACGTGAACCACCGTGCCTGGCCAATTGGCAGGTTTTAAAGAGCTTTTAATGGCCTACCAAGTTTTTGTTTGTTTTGAGACGGAGTTTTGTTCTTTTTGCCCACGCTAGAGTTCAATGGCAAGATCTCAGCTCACTGCAACCTCCGCCTCGCAGGTTCAAGCAATTCTCTTGCCTCAGCTTCTATAGTAGCTGGGATCACAGGCATGTGCCACCACGCCCAGTTAATTTTGTATTTTTAATAGAGATGGGGTTTCACCATGTTGGCCAAGCTGGTCTCGAACTCCTAACCTCAGGTGATCCAACCACCTCAGCCTCCCAAAGTGCTGGTATTACAGGTGTGAGCCACCACGCCTGGCCTACTTCTTATTTCAAGAGCTTATTCTGTAGGCATAGGGAGTTACCAAATGTTTTTGAGTAGAGAAATTACATTTGAGTTTAGAAAGATCACTGGCACATTTTGGCCGGGCATAGTGGCTCATGCCTGTAATCCCAGCACTTTGGGAGGCCGAGGCAGGTGGATCACGAGGTAAGGAGTTCCAGACCAGCCTGACCAAAATAGTGAAACCCCATCTCTACTAAAAATACAAAAACATTAGCCAGGCGTGGTGGCGCACACCTGTCATCCCAGCTACTCAGGAGACTGAGGCAGGAGGATTGCTTGAACCCGGGAGGCAGAGGTTGCAGTGAGCTGAGATCACACCATTGCACTCCAGCCTGGGTGACAGAGCTGGACTCCGTCTCAAAAAAAAAAAAAAGATCACTAGTACATTTTAGAAGATGGATTGAAGCAACAAGCAATAAGAATGAAATTCTGTCTCAAAAAATAAAAAATAAAAAAGACAGATTGAAAGTCAAGAGAGTGTAGTGACAATTAGGTAAAAGGGAATAAGGAGCTGATGATATATATGATTTATTGAACATCTACTTTGTATCAGACAGTTTTTCACGGAATTTTTATCTTAAGCCTTATATCACCCAGGTGAAGCAGACATTACTACCCTTATATTACAGATAAGGAAGCAAGGCAATATTAAGCAAACTGCTCAAGATCACACAGCTATTATGGGGCAAACTGGTCTACTACAGCATGCTGGCACAGGGCAAAGGAGAATAGAGGGTGGATTTGAGACATTATGAGGCAGATTCATCCAATGTTGGTGACCAACTAAGCATGGACTTAAGGTGTGGAAACTATCAAAATGATGCCATATTTCCAGCTTAGCACCCAGGTGGGTGGTAATGCTGTTAACCCAGGTGGGAAACAAGAGGAGAAGAAGAGGAAAGGAGGTAAGATGACTGAGGTTTGGACATACTGAGTTTTCAGTGCTTGTGGGGCACTTATAGGTGGAAGTGTGAGAAGGGAGCTAAAAATAAAGATCTGAAGGTCAGGAGTAAAATCTAGAGAAAAGATCTACAACTTCTTAGGACAGACATGAAAGTTGATTTATAGGGATAGATCAGATGGTTTAAGGAGGAGGCATAGAATGAGGACACTCACCTACTTATAAGCCCATGTTGCAGAAGGAGGAGCAGGTAGCAGTTCTCAGGCCCCACTTTCCTCCCCATTCTCTGCCCCCAGTGATTCATCAGAAAGTGGCATGCTGTCCCGCCTGGGTGATTTGCTCTTCTACACTATTGCTGAAGGACAGGAACAAATCCCTATCCACAAGTTCACCACTGTAAGTTGCTCTCTACCTGTTCAGGATGCTAATTCCTTAAGATCTCTGAAAAGTGGGGAAACGAGGGTATGACAAGTGCAGGGCAACTAATGGGTTGCTACATGAGGGTGAAGCATACAGATGGATGAGAATCCAGATGTCTAGGCTGACAAGACAAGCCCATCCCTGCCCCAGGGTCAGAAGATTAAACCCTCTGGAAAAAGGACAGGAAACCCTTGTTCGCCTTCAGAGTTGCTCCATCCCCTCCTTTCTTATTCTCCAAACCCATTTGTTCCACCTATTATAGCGGCTGGGGTTCAGCTAACCGGGTATCCACTGGGAAAGATTATGAGGAGTACATCACTGTCCTTGTAGCTGACCTTTCCGGTCTCTTCTTTCCTCTAAAGGCACTAAAGGCCACTGGACTGCAGACATCAGATCCTCGGCTCCAAGACTGCATGAGCGAGATGCACCGTGTGGTCCAAGAGTCCAGTAGTGGTGGCCTCTTGGACCGAGATCTCTTCCGAAAGTGAGGGCCCCAGAAACAAGGGCACTGCTCTCTGAAAACTGTCCTGTGGATGTAGACTCTCACAGCAGGGAGGAATTTGGGAATTGTATAGTTCAATTCCTCATTTTATTTTATTACTTCTTATATAAGTTATACATGAATACTCATTATAAGAGTTCAAACAATATAGAAATACATGTTATCCTTTCCCTCCCTACTCAATCCCTAGCCTCTTTTCCCTGAAGTAAACATTAACAGATTAGTGGGTATCTTCTAGATAATGTCCTATGTATTGACATACATACATGAATATATGTAAATATACTTTCATGATTTGGGATTTTTTAAATATCAAGGTAACATACATACATATTATTCTGGTATTTATTTTTTTTCTCATATCCCAAGACATAGTGTCTTTCCACATCATTAAAACCCCTCATTTTACAGGTAAGGAAACTAAGACATAGAAAGGCAAACTGATTTGCCAAAGGTAATAGAGCTGTTGATCCCAAACCAGAAGACCACTCAACCTTCTTTATTCGCGACTTCCATGGCTCCAGAGTGAGTCCCAGCTGCATCTCTCTAGCCCCCTAATCCAATCGTATCTGGGATCCAGGTGTGTGAGCAGCAACATTGTGCTCCTGACCCAGGCATTCCGAAAGAAGTTTGTCATTCCTGATTTTGAGGAGTTCACGGGCCATGTGGATCGCATCTTTGAGGATGCCAAAGAGCTCACTGGAGGCAAAGTGAGAGCCAGGGGACTAAGGGAGGGGTCAGGGACCTGGGCCAAATATCTTTTTTTTTTTTTTTTTTCTGAGATGGAGTCTTGCTCTGTCACTGGGGCTGGAGCGCAATGGTGCAATCTCAGCTCACTGCAGCCTCCACCTCCCGGGTTCAAGCGATTCTCCTGTCTCAGCCTCCCGAGTAGCTGGCATATGCCACCATGCTCAGCTAATTTTTGTATTTTTAGTAGAGATGGGGTTTTGCCATATTGGCCAGGCTGGTCTCAAACTCCTGACCTCAAGTGATCCCCCCACCTCGGCCTCCCAAACTGCTGGGATTACAGGCATGAGCCACCACACCTAGATATACCTTGCTTCTCAGAGATTTCCTGCGGCTGGGAATCCTATGAATGAGAAATGAGAAGCAGAACTTCTGTAAATGGGGACCTGGCTTCATGTGTTTCTATACACATGATTCCTAGAGCAGGTGAGGGAATCAAGAGTCTATAATACAGTCTTCAAAGGGATTTATATGGTAATTGAGCCTAAGAAGCAAAAGGGGAAGGTGACCTCAGAATTCTCCTTTTTAAACTTCCATTAGCTTTACTGCTATCTCTACAGGATTGGGGATACAGAAAGATATGGCCTTCTAGGACTTAAGGCTTGGAATTTCTGGGAGCAACAGGCAGGAGGGAACCCTTCTGCCCTATAGAAGACAGAATTTTAGCTTTTATCTAAAAGATTGTCTTTACCCTTATCCTCAACTCTATTCCTTTTCTCCACATCCATCTCCCTTTTCTCTACCCATTCATGTCCAGGTGGCAGCGTACATCCCTCAGCTGGCCAAGTCAAACCCAGACCTGTGGGGTGTCTCCCTGTGCACTGTGGATGGTCAGCGGTGAGATGCTGGGCAAGAGGAAGGGGGGGCAGGGCACAGGTGCCGAACACAGGCCAACCCCTTTCATGGCATCTGTCTGCCTCCAGGCACTCTGTGGGCCACACAAAGATCCCCTTCTGCCTGCAGTCCTGTGTGAAGCCCCTTACCTATGCCATCTCCATAAGCACCCTAGGCACTGACTACGTGCACAAGTTTGTGGGCAAAGAGCCTAGTGGCCTGCGCTACAACAAGCTCTCCCTCAATGAGGAAGGTGAGCACTACCAAGGCTCAGACCATACTTATAGCCGTCCCCTCCTCCTTACCCCCACCCCATCCCCCAGCCTTTTTTGTTTCTCTGCCCTTCCCGATTAGCCCTGTCATGCCTTTCTCCCTAGCAAGCAATCTTTCTTGTCTAACCCACAAAATGAGTGGGCTGTCAGGGAGGCTTTGTTCAGTGGCTAAGACTCTTGGTGGTTTGTATTTCCCCAGGAATCCCCCATAACCCCATGGTCAATGCTGGTGCCATTGTTGTCAGCTCCCTCATCAAGGTCAGTGCCACCTTAACCTTCTGACAGGTATTATCCTCTAAGCTCCTGTGTTCCTGTATCCCTCATATTTGTTCAGCTCTTCGGGGAGACTGGTGGGGCTCTGATTCCTTTGAGGGTCCCCAGAAGGCACATGAGGCACAGCAGGGAGCCACGTTATGCTGACGATGTCAGTAAAAGAGACTGCACCACCTCCCTCACCCCCACTAGTACTGTTCCCTGCCCCCACCCATGAGTCTAGAGCCTAGAGCTTCCTGACTCTTAGAGAAGTGAGCAGGTCCTGACCCCTGCCTAGGACCAAGGGCCAAATGCCAGAGACAAGGGGAGGACAGCACTACTGGGCACTGATTGGCCATTTCTGGGTGTGGGACACCTGCAGGGAAGGGTGAATGGCCAGGCCAGGGCAGTTATTCACGTCACCTGGAACTGTGAGTTGGCCTTGAACAGGGTGTCAAACTGGCCCATCAGCTGTAGGTCTCCCAGAGCTTGAGCAAGAACCTGGGAGCAGCTGGGCAGCAACACCCTGGGGCCAATCACAGCCCCTCCTGAGGAAGGTGGTGTTAGGAATCCTCCCCCCAGGGACTCAGGTGTCACAGTCCCTGTGGTATTGACTCTGTAACTGACACATGAGTAAGCAATGAGTCTGGGTGAGGAAATGAGGCTGAGTCTCTCCCCTTGTTCTGTGATGGCTCCATCTACAAACCTGTATCTGGGACCTGCCTCATCCCATTCCCATCTAAGTAGGAACTTTATAAAAAAAGAAAAAAAGAAAAAATAGAGGCCAGGCATGGTGGCACACGCCTGTAATCCCAGCACTTTGGGAGGCCAAGGCTGAGGTGGGTGGATCACGAGGTCAGGAGATTAAGACCATCCTGGCTAGCACGGTGAAACCCCGTCTCTACTAAAAATACAAAAAATTAGCCGGGCGTGGTGGCGAGTGCCTGTGGTTCCAGCTGCTCAGGAGGCTAAGGCAGGAGAATGGTGTGAACCCAGGAGGCAGAGCTTGCAGTTGAGCTGAGATTGTGCCACTGCACTCCAGCCTAGGTGATAGAGCGAGACTCCGTCTCAAAAAAAAAAAATATATATATATATATATATATGTGTGTGTGTGTGTGTGTGTGTGTGTGTGTGTGTGTGTGTGTGTATATATAGAGAGAGAGAGAGGGTCTATCCTATGTTGCCCAGGCTGGTCTCAAACCCCTGGGCTCAAGCGATCCTCCCACCTCGGCCCCCTAAATTGCTGAGATTACAGGCATGAACCATCATGCTGGCCAATGGGATAGAGTAAAGGTCTAGTATGGGGTGTAAGGAATGAGGATGGAGATCAGGGATAGGGTGGGGCTGGGAGACAGGATTAGAGTCAGGAAAATGAACGTGGGAGTCAGGGATGAGGGTTTGGATTGAGAATGGAAGTGGGATGGCCCAGCAAGGTGGCTCATGCCTGTAATTCCAGCTACTCAGAGGCTGAGGTGGGAGGATCACTTGAGCCTGGGAGGTCGAAGCTGCAGTAAGCCACGATCATGCCACTGCACTCCAGCCTGGGTGAAAAAGCAAGACTCTGCCTCAAGAGAAAGAGAGGAGCCAATGGAAGTGCGGTGTTTTAAAAAAAAAAAAAAAAAAAGCCATTATAAAATTGAACACATTTGCAGCAGCAGGACCAGTCTAACACTTGAACTCCACTAGATCCTTCTGACCCTTCCCTCTGTCATCCTCCTAGGCTTAGAAGACTGACATCTCTCTCTTTCTCTGCAGATGGACTGTAACAAAGCAGAGAAGTTTGATTTTGTAAGTTCCCTTGCTACTTGGCCCCTGGCTGCATTTCTCCACAGCATGCTGTCCTCTCCAGCTGCCCCAGTGGCTCTCTAATTCCACTACCAGGTGCACCAGCCCATACTAGAAGCATTATTTCCAGAAGTGTGGAAATCTGCTGGCCTCAGAGAGGAAAGCCTCTTGACAAGACCTGAGTTCAGAAGGGCTAGTCAGCCTGTGAGGTATTAATAGAGCTTCTCAGTCAAGTGGAGCCTCAATGTCCCTTTTTCGCTTCCAGGTGTTGCAGTATCTCAACAAAATGGCTGGGAATGAATACATGGGTTTCAGCAATGCCACGTAAGTCCCTATTCAGAGGACTGACTGAAAGCATTGTGGTGTATCTGTGTGTACTCAGGATGGGGACAAGAAGAATGCAGGAGAGAGAATCTTAAAAGGAAGAAATCCCAGGGGAACTTTGGCCCTCTAGCTTCCTCTGAGTCCCTTCATTAACATTTGTTTACCTTGTAAAATAATTTTTTCCATTACTAATTAGTATGTAATGAGAGAGTGTGATGGTTTGTGCCTAAGCCCTTTCTTGCCAAGACTTTCAAAGCCAAAAACTTCACCAGTTTTCCTAGACTAGATGACTAGACAGTTTGGGGTGTTTGGTTTGGGTTTACTTTATAATAAAGCTATGCTGAGTGTTTGCTGAGGTTCAGAAATTTCCTCTAATATTACTGTGAGAAGTTATAAAGGGGTTCATTTAGTTTGTGGTGTGATGTAGTTCTGTCTCTCTCAGGGAAGGTAATTTTTCCCCTTCTCCCAACACCTATTCCTCCAACTTCAAGTACTAAATTGGGTGTTTGCTTCAGATTCCAGTCGGAGAAGGAAACAGGGGATCGGAATTATGCCATTGGCTATTATCTCAAGGAAAAGAAGGTAACCAGGAGAGGCTGGGAGAGAAAGTCCCTGGGAATTCTGCTGCTAGTGGAAGGGCAGTAGGGGTTGGGGGTTTCGGCCAAGACCCTGACAATGTGAAAGGGCTGCTGATGTCCTGAAGAGAAATGCTCTCCCCTCTCTTCCTTGCAGTGCTTTCCTAAGGGGGTGGACATGATGGCTGCCCTTGATCTCTACTTCCAGGTAAGAAAACACTGCTCAGGGCCGAGGGAACAGGACAGACTGTCCTTGCCCTACACCCGAGGGTACCATGTGCAGGTTCACATCACATCTTCACCTATTCTTTGTTTTCATAGCTGTGCTCTGTGGAGGTCACTTGTGAATCAGGCAGTGTCATGGCAGCCACCCTCGCCAATGGTGGGATCTGCCCTATCACAGGCGAGAGTGTGCTGAGTGCTGAAGCAGTGCGCAACACCCTCAGCCTCATGCATTCCTGCGGCATGTATGACTTCTCTGGCCAGTTTGCCTTCCACGTGAGTTTCTGGCTCTGCCATCCATCTGTCATGCGCCCAGTGCTAAGAAGAGAGAACACTGACTCTCTGAAGATAGAGGTGGAAGCTTGTTCCTGCCTCTCATTCACTAACTTCCAGGAAGGCAATTAGGTTGAGACTCCTTAGATGAGCTTCTCAAAAACACCAAATTCCTTGAATATATAAAGAGATGTCTGGCCAGGCGCAGTGGCTCACGCCTGTAATCTCAGCACTTTGGGAGGCCAAGGCGGGCAGATCCAAGGTCAGGAGACCGAGACCATCCTGGCTAACACAGAAAATTAGATGGGCATAGTGGTAGGCACCTGTCGTCCCAGCTACTCGGGAGGCTGAGGCAGGAAAATGTCATGAACCCAGGAGGCGGAGCTTGCAGTGAGCCGAGATTGCGCCACTGCACTCCAGCCTGGGCAACAGAGCAGGACTCCATCTCAAAAAAAAAAAGAGAGATTTCTTTGGGAGGCTGAGGCGGGTGGATCACCTGAGGTCAGGAGTGCAAGACCAGCCTGACCTACGTGGTGAAACCCCATCTCTACTAAATACAAAAAATTAGTTGGGAGTGGTGGTGTGCACCTGTAATCCCAGCTACTTGGGAAACTGAGGCAGGAGAATTGCTTCAACCTGGGAGGTGAAGGTTGCAGTGAGCCAAAATTGTGCCATTGCACTCTAGCCTGGGCAACAAGAGCAAAACTCTGTCTCAAAAAAAGAAAAAGAAAAAAAAAAAAAAAACCAACGAGAGATGTTGCAGCTCCTGACTTGTGCTTCACATTGCTGGCTCTTCTCCTTGAGGTCTCAGCTTAGATGTCATTTCCAAAGAAAGACTTTTCTCACCACCTGATCTCACATGGGCCCCCTTCTACCTCTATTTACAGCACCCTACTTCTTCTCACTACTTATCACAATTACTTTAAAAATTACTTGTCTATTTATTTACCTGTTTATTACCTACCTCCTAACACTATTTATTTACCTGTGTATTACCTATCTCCTAATACCAGAATGCTAGTGCTAGCACAGCATCCAGCACAGAATGCTATATTTCAAAAAATATTTTCTAGCTGAACCAATGAATTTTAAGAGAAGGACAGGAGCAATAAAAGAAGCTAATTAACAAGCCAAAAGGTTGAGGTAGATTGTGGCCATGCAGTCATTTGTAAACTTGTTAAGAGTACAGCCTAACTTGTTTATTTTCTGATTTGGGGCACACCCACGTCATCCTCAGCTTCAATTCTGTTCCCCAGGTGGGCCTGCCAGCCAAGTCAGCTATATCAGGAGCCATCCTCCTGGTGGTACCCAATGTCATGGGAATGATGTGCCTGTCACCCCCATTGGACAAGCTGGGGAACAGCTATAGGGGGACCAGCTTCTGCCAGGTGAGATGCTTTGCATATAGTACTTAATATTTTTGAAGCAATAAATTTGTTTAATGGTACCACTTTTATTTTAATAAAACAATTTTGAGTTCCTACTAAGTGTAAGGAGTAAATACACAGTATCTTTGGCTTACAATTCTAGAAGTTGGTGTCTCTCTTCAATTTCCACAACTATGACAACCTGAGGCACTGTGCTCGGAAGTTAGACCCACGGCGTGAAGGGGGAGAAATTCGGGTAAGGAAAACTCCAGGTGGCTTGTAAGAATATTTCAAAGGCCAGGTGCGGTGGCTCATGCCTGAAATCCCAGAATTTTGAGAGGCCGAGGCGGGCGGATCATGAGGTCAGATCAAGACCATCCTGGCTAACATGGTGAAACCCTGTCTCTACTGAAAATACAAAAAATTAGCTGGACATGGTGGCACGCGCCTGTGGTCCCACTACTTGGGAGGCTGAGGCAGGAGAATCGCTTGAAACCGGGAGGTGGAGGTTGCAGTGAGCCAAGATCACGCCACTACACTCCAGCCTGGACGACAGAGCAAGACTCTGTCTCAAAAACAAAAACAAAAAAACAAAAAATATTTCAGAGTAGCACACTCCATAACACTTCAGCACTTCAGCAATACCCTTGACTAAGCACCCATGGAGGAAGGTCACAGGACAGAGCTGACATAGGTGAGTTCAATTAATGTCAGGAGGGTATGATTTGTGTTCCAGAACAAGACTGTGGTCAACCTGTTATTTGCGGCCTACAGTGGTGATGTCTCAGCTCTTCGAAGGTAATGCTACTGTTGACCAAATACACACAATAAAATACTCCTGGTCAGAGATTTTACTGGGAGGCAGCATAGCAAAACAGTTAAGTGCTTCAGCTTTGGAATTAGACAGATATAGATTGCATTTAAATTAGATTTTTTTTAAAAAGGAGATTTTTTTTTTTTAAGTAAACTGCCTGCTCTATAATTCATGTTAGCCGTTGTTATTGAGTGTTAAGAGCAGAGTCCGAGGAAGTAGGTACCCTGCCTCCAATGGGCACTTACCACAGGTAGGCAGTGAGTGATATTTCTGGCATCACATTCCCATCTCTCTAATATGGGTATAACAGTCTCATCTGGGTATGGAAAAAAGATTATTGAGAGCCTACAAATCTGGGTACAGGCTATTTCACTTTCTCTGAAACTCATCCAGTCTGACACCAGTTCACAAAGAACACCTGTGATTCCAGTCTGATCTAGGTAACTCTAGCTGCTTTCCCACTACCCTCAGGTTTGCCTTGTCGGCCATGGATATGGAACAGAAAGACTATGACTCGCGCACAGCTCTGCATGTTGCTGCAGCTGAAGGTACTGAAGGGTTAAGGATGGGAGGGTAATCATAAGACCCTTTCTTTTTCACCAAAAGTTCCTTCGCTATATGTGCTCTCAAGGTTATAGGGGCAGCAACTAGTTTTATCTAGACACCCTTTGCTTTGCAGCTAGACTATTACTGGGTGCTGCAGGGTACAAAATGGGAAGAAGCCTTTTCCGTTCCCCTCTTGGTAAAGACTTCAGTGACTAAGTGTCTGCACCAAAGGGTTCAAGACCTGTGCCTTCTCATTTTCCTTCTGCCCGTATTCCTAGGACACATCGAAGTTGTTAAATTCCTGATCGAGGCTTGCAAAGTGAATCCTTTTGCCAAGGACAGGTGAGTATTAGGCTAAAAGTGGAGGAGGGTGGGCACAGCTTCTCTACCTACCCTCCAGCCACCATGCAAATATATACAACCACCACACTCTCCATGTCTCCTTTGCCTGATCATATCATTATTCCTTTCAGATGGGGCAACATTCCCCTGGATGATGCTGTGCAGTTCAACCATCTGGAGGTGGTCAAACTGCTTCAAGATTACCAGGATTCCTACACACTCTCTGACACTCAGGCTGAGGCAGCAGCTGAGGCCCTGTCTAAAGAGAACTTAGAAAGCATGGTATGAGCACAGGTCATGGAGAGCCCCTGCTCAAGAAAAAGCACGAGCTGGCCACACATGTAATCCATAACCACCAAAAATGCTATGAAGAGCTACACTGCTTCAGTGGGGACCCAACAGTCATGTGGTGACTTAGGCTAGTGCTTTCTATGAGAGTCAAAATACCCCATTCCCTCAGCAGACAGAGTACAGAGAAGGGCCTCAGTGGACACCTGCAGTAGAGCTGTTCAGAGTGAATGGGCTACAAGGTACAGCCTAATGGCTTGCCCCACTCAAAACCATCCCAGCTCTTCACCCAGGTCTCCTCTTCCTCTCCCTGAAGAAACCATCATGAGAGAAAGACACTCTGGTGGAGGGACTCTAGCTACCATGCACATGTATATATCCACAGAATATGGGAAGTGGGAATGGCTATGTACATGGCTTTAGTAGTCTGGAGAGATCTACTCCCCTTGGCCAGGACATGCTGCTGCTACTGCTAACAGCCAATTTTATAGACAGAGAAAGTGTTTTGTGTTCAAATAAACTTTTAATTATCAAATCATTTTTGCTAAACCCAGTCCTTCTTTCTTCCCTAGGGGTATCAAACTTCATCACCATCATACGAGGTAGAAAAAGATGGAATCACAGGGTCAGAGCACGGCTTCTCTACCTACTCTACCAAACAGTACATATTCACTTACCCTGCCAGGTTTTTCTCAACTCCAAATACTGCTTTAGGTTAAGTATATTCTGCTGCCAAGGGAAGTGTAGGTTTGAGTCTAAACAGGCTCTGAAACAGATTGTGCAAAAAAACCTCAGGCCTCCCTCCTTCCTCGAGAAGTTCCAACTGTGGCAGAAATGAAGATGGAACTTCTCAAGTATAAACAGTTTTGGCCGGGCGTGGTGGCCCACACCTGTAATCCCAGCACTTTGGGAGGCCAAGGTGGGTGGATCACATGAGGCCAGGAGTTTGAGACCAGCCTGGCCAACATGGCAAAACCCCATCTCTACTAAAAATATAAAAATTAGACAGGCATGGTGGCACACACCTGTAATCCCAGCTACTCAGGAGGCTGAGGCACGAGAGTCACTTGAACCCTGGAGGCAGAGGTTGCAGTGAGCCGAGATCATGCCACTGCACTCCAGTCTGTGTGACAGAGTGAGACTGTCTCAAAAAATAAATAAAAGAATCAACAGTTTCTAGCACTCATACCCTAGATATCCCCCAAGTGTCTCTCTTCCCCTTTGGTCATGGTTATAACCGGGATAATGATTATGACAGACTGGCTGGGTGTCAGAGGTATAGATTAAGGTAGATGGACTCAGGGTAACGATAGCTACAGCTGTCTGGGGCTGAAGGTCTGTGGCACTGAGCTACTGGGGAAGGAGGGCTGTTTTCATTTTGACACACTGAGTTAATAAAGCACTTACTGAGGGAGCCAGAGCCCAAACTCTGAATGTGCTGTAGAAAAAGGGCCAAGTCATTGACTGCACCACTCCTTCAGCCAGAGGTAGAAAGGATTTACTCTTCAGCGATCTGGTAGAGCCCCAAGAACAAACAAGTTACATGTGGACAAAGGGAGGGAGAGGTATCACGGTGATTAATAAATTCAAACAAAGCTGAATGATAAGACCCCAGGATGGAATACAGTCTGAGAAAGGTCTGGGCAAAGGGAAGCAGAGGGACTGAAGGAAGCAGGTCAGGGAAGATATATCACCCATGGTAGCCTAGGAAATGGGCAGTAGTTGGTGGGTGGGAGAAGGAGGGTTTGGCTGTATGCCTAGCTTTCACAAGGCAGGGGATAAGGAAGATGATTATGATATTGCACAAAGGACCCAACATTGAATTGCTGGAGCTAGAGGTTGCTTGAGCCAAAGTAAAAAGGCTTCAGACATTTTCAAAAGGAGGCTGGCCAAGAGCGTGATTAGGGACTCCAGTAATGGAAATACTAGAGGCCGGGGGGCACCTCAAGCCCTGAATGGGTCAGCAGCTCTCCATCCCAGAGAGCAAAGGCAGGCACCACTGGACCCCGGAAATCTGTCTGTAGCGTGTGAACCACAGAGACCTGGCTCACATCCACCAGGCTCAGCTTCTGGGCCTCATACTCCAGCAGCAGCCCCACCTTCTCTGGCTGCCCAATGCCCTCAATTGGGGCTTTCTCGTTGGCCAACATGGTGTACCACTTGCGCTGGGCATAGGTGAACACCCAGGAACGATCATCAACACCAATGCAGCTATCCCGGGACATGTCCACATCTGCCACTCCTATCCGGAACTGCTGGGAGCGCTTCACTGTCACTTCCCAGTAGTGTCTGCCACTGGTGACCGCTGTGTCTGCCAGCACCACTGCCCACTCCCGGAAGCGCTCCACATTCAAGGCCACCTTGGTGGGCTCCAATCCCACCAAGCCATATTTGACACCCGTATCACCTCTGAAGAGTGCCAGGCTGCTGTGGGCGGTTTTTTCTTCCAATTTGAAACTGACGCCTGCGGGCAGAGCAAAAAAGACGGGATAATAACAAGGGCTAGAACCCTAGGGCTGGTGATATATTCAGATCTGAGGCAGGCAGTCAAGAGACACGAGCAACTAGGGAAGAGTCAGAATGCCAAGCGGGCAAGAGAGTCGGGGGGTCGCTTTAGTATGGATAGCTCATGGAGCTGAAACTCGGATTGAGGAAGTCCTGGAATTTAAAGAAACCAAATGGTGTCACAGGTTTGGAAGCTAGAGACCAAGGCAGGTGGGGGAGGGAAAAGACCCGAGAGGGTTGGAATTGCTTCTCGGAGTCGGGTCTGGGAATAATAGACGGAAGCCATTCTGGAGGTAAAAGAGTAAAAAGAGATAATCCTACCTCTCTGGGCCTCTGTGGAGGCAACTCCCAATCGTTTGGCTCCCCAGCGGCACAAGCGCAAAGAACGTGCAAAAAGCAGCGCCATCTTGCGCCATGGATGAGCCGGGCACGCCTCCCGCTTACAGACTCAGCCATCTGCCCGCCTGCTCCCCTAGCACGTGGTGCGCAAGGGGCGGCCGCGCAGTGTTATGACGTAGGAGCGACGCCCTGTCGGAGGCCGCCGCGTTAGCAGTTTCTGTTCTGATTCTACTGGGTGGTTGATGCTGTTTATTCAGTTTTTCTGCGTAGATGGACGCTGCTCACATTTGAACTACATAAAACTTTTAGAGATGTAGTGTTGCCAGATGCTTAAAAGTATAGATTTTAAAATTAAACAGTACTGTAATTAGCTTTGATCCCGGCTTCACTGTGTGAGTTTGGGCAACTCATTCCACTTTTCTGAACCTTAGTGTTCTCATTTTTAAAATAGAAATTATATACAGACCTTAGTAATAATTAAGTGAGGATAATCTAGACCGGGCGCGGTGGCTCACGCCTGTAATCCCAGCACTTTGGGAGGCCGAGGCAGGCAGAGCACGAGGTCAGGAGATCAAGACCATCCTGGCTAACATGGTGAAACCCCGCCTCTACTAAAAGTATAAAAATTAGCCGGGCATGGTGGCGCGCGCCTGTAATCCCAGCCACCCGGGAGGCTGAGGCAGGAGAATCGCTTGAACCAGGGAGTCGGAGGTTGCAGTGAGCCGAGATCCTGCCACTGCACTCCAGCCTGGTGACAGGCAAGACTCCATCTCAAAAAGCAAAAAAAAAAAAAAAAAAGAATAATCTAGATATATATTGGCAAATAGCAACCATTGGGTAATTCACAGTTGTTTATAATTAATACTAAATACATAAATACTGTTAATGTTGGTTTTGTATGTTCAAGGCTAGGAACGGATGGTTTAACTCAGCATTCAGTTCTCTGAACTTAACCAAAAGTAGCAATATTTTGGTTTAGTGTATGAGGTAGGAGATTATGAACAGCCTATATTTAACATTTAGATCTGCATTACATTTTATTTAGTTTTTTGAGACAGGGTCTCATTCTGTCACCCAGGCTGCATGCAGCACAGTGGCGCGAACACAGCTCACTGCAGCCTTCATCTCCCAGGCACAAGCAATCTTCCTGCTATAGCCTCCCGTGTAGCTGGGACCACAAGTGCACGCACCATGCCCGGTTAACTTTTTTGTAGAAACAAGGGTTTCACTTTGTTGCCCCGGCTGTTCTCGAATTCTTGGGCTCAAGCCATCCTCCCACCTTTAACTCCCAAAGTGCTGTGATTACAGGTGTTAGCCACCATGCCAGGCCTACATTTTTTTAAATCAATCCACTTCTCAAGGTTCTGCTGGCCAGTGCAGTATCAACATACATCCCACCTCCATCCTCCTACCCCTCAAAAAAAGGATTTTAGATATATGTTTTGTAAATTTATATTTTGAGATGTAGTGTCATTCTATCACCCAGGCTGAAGTACAGTGGTTTGATCTTGGCTAACTGCAGCCTCCGCCTATGGGGTTCAAGCAATTCTCCTGTCTCAGCCTCCTGAGTAGCCGGAATTACAGGTGCCCACCAACCACATCCGGGTAATTTGTTTTTTGTTTTTGGTTGGTTTTTTTTTTTGAGACTGAGTCTCACTCTGTTGCCCAGGCTGGAGTGCAGTGGTACGACCTTGGCTCACTGTAACCTCTGCCTCCCAGGTACAAGGAATTCTCTTGTCTCAGCCTCCTGAGTACCTGGGACTATAGGCACATGCCACTACATCTGGCTAATTTTTGTATTTTTAGTAGAGACAGGGTTTCACCATATTGGTCAGGCTGGTCTTGAACTCCTGACCTCAGGTGACCCACCCACCTCAGCCTCCCAAAGTGCTGAGATTACAGATGTGAGCCACTGCGCCTGGCCTAATTTTTGTATTTTTAATAGAGACAGGGTTTCACCATGTTGGCCAGTCTGGTCTCAGACTCCTGACCTCAGTCTGGTCTCAGACTCCTGATCCACCCACCTCAGCCTCCCAAAGTGCTGGGATTACAGGTGTGAGCCACCACACCTGGCCTCTGGCCTAGGTACTTAAAAGCCTAAATAATTAACCAAAAATTGTTCCTCCTCTCCCAGAGTTCTAACTGCCTTGAATCGTGGACATGGCCCTAGTTCAGGCCACTGTCATCCTTGACCTTAAGCCTTTCTTACTTCTTTTCTTTTTTTTTTTTTTAACTGAGACGGAGTCTCGCTCTGTCACCCAGGCTGGAGTGCAGTGGCATAATCTCAGTGCACTGTAACCTCCACTGCCCAGGTTCAAGCGATTCTCCTGCCTCCGCCTCCCAAGTAGTTGGGACTACAGGTGCCCACCACCATGCCCGGCTAATTTTTGTGTTTTTAGTAGAGACAGGGTTTTGCCATGTTGTCCAGGCTTTTCTCAAACTCCTGACCTCAGATAATCCACCCGCCTCTGCCTCCCAAAGTTCTGGGATTACAGGCATGAGCTACTACGCCCGACCAAGGCTTTCTCATTTCAATGTAGAAATATGAGTAGCTTCTAAGCTGATCTGCCAGCTTCTATTTGTCTGCTTCTAATTCAATGTTGGCATTACAGGCAGACATGCCACCTCCCTGCTTAAATCCTTTAAGGTACCTGCCTCATTCCCTTGCATGGTCACAAGGCTTTACGTGATATG